ACGGAAAAAGTAAGGCACAGAATAGGGTGTATTATATATATTTTGTGTAAAGAAAGGAGCCAATAAAATATATATTCATAATTGCTTAGATAAGCATAAAGAAACTTTGGAAGACTCATAAGAAACTAAGAATAGTCATTATCCATGGAGGGGTATAGGATGAGAGGGAAACACTTTTTCCTGACTACCTTTTTACTGTTTTTACTTTTTAAGCCACATCAATATATTCCCTATAAAAATAGATTGAAAATATCTTTTAAAACAAGGAAGCCCTCTTAGAGGCATCTTATAGTAATCTAAATTGTGACTCTCCAAGTGAGGATGAGAAGTGGGTTATGCAGTTTCCTACAAACTCATTGGACTATGGAATCCTACAGAATTTTGAGTTATCTAGGTTTCTAAAAAAATTTATGGAATAATCTTTACTGATTTTAAATCTTTAGCAAATACTAAAATATAAAGTTTTATATTCATGGGTTTGTGTGTGTGAGAGAGAGAAAGACTTCTATTCTGTCTTTTATTGACCAATTAGGCTACTGGTACTGAGTACTTTTATATCTGGAAGAGCAAATCACCTCTTGTCATTCTTTTTCATTGTTTTGATTATATTAAAATTCATTCTTCTTATTCATTATTTTCTTGAACTATTTTAACCATTTATTCTTATGATCATGGTGTTAATGAGGCAGGATTAGAGGCAGTTATGTTAATGAGGCAGGACTCAATCTGCAAGAATAGGTTGTGTTTTAAGTCAATCTCTTTTGAGATATAAAAGAGAGAAGTGAGCAGAGGGACAAGGGGACCTCATTACCACCAAGAAAGCAACGCTGGGAGCAGAGCATGTCCTTTGGACCTGGGGTCCGTGCTCCTGAGAAGCTCCTCAACCAGGGGAAGATTGATGACAAGGACCTTCCTCCAGAGCCGACAGAGAGAAAGAGAATAAATTTCTCTTTGTTAAAGCCATCCACTTGTGGTATTTCTGTTATAGCAGCACTAAATGACTAAGACACAAGCGATTCATTTTATCAACCACCTAAACATACTCTCTACCACCTGTCAGTTTGTTGTACTATGCTGGCTTTTGTGTTGCTATGATGCTGGAAGTTATGCCACCAGTATTTCAAATACTTGGAGGGTCACCAGTGATGGATAAGTTTCAGCGGAGCATCCAGACTAATATAAACTAGGAAGAAAGGCCTGATGATCTACCTCCAAATTAGCCAATAAAAACCTTATGGATCACTATGGAACAGTCTGACTTGCTTGCTTTGGACAAGCCATTAGAGAGGATCAATTGCTAGAGGAGGACATCATGCTTGGTGAAGTAGAGGGCCAATGAGGGCGAAGGAGAACCTTGGTGAGATACGTTGGCACAAAAGCCACAGCGATGGACTCAAACATACTGGCAATTGTGAGGATGATGCAGGACTGGGCAATGTTTCATTCTGTTGTACTTAAGGTCTCCATGAGTTTAAGTCAACTTGACAGGTATTTATATAGGTATCTGATAGGTATTCATATAGGTATCAGAACATACTCTTGGGATAGTTTGAGAAGAATTGGTATCTTTATGGAATTATGTAAAGAATAAAGGGAGACTCTTTCCTATATATCCTTAAATACTTTTTAGATTTTGAATTATATGAAATATATTCCTCAAATATTCTCTTAAGACCATTCAGTGAAGTCTACAATAGCATGCTTTTTTCATTTTTTCCCAAGAAATCCTGACTAATTCTTAAGATTATTTTAAGTGTTTTTATTTCTATTGTAAAGGGTATCTACTATTCATTTTATTTTATCAAGGATTGCTGTTGATATATAGAATATCTACTTTTTAAAAATAGATACTGTATTCTAACAAATTTATTTTTCATAATTAATGAGATAAATATATGATGCTTCCTTTTGACTAATTAATTTAATGAAATATAATGGTAGATTTCCTGATAATTCACTCTTCTTATATTATTGGAAAAAGTCATGCTTAAAAACAGTGCATAGCTATTCAAATATTATTTGCTAATATTTTAATTAGGATGTTTGTCTCTATATTTGTAAATGGGATTGGCCTGAAGGATTGAGGTTGGCGCTCTATTTGTCAGTTTGTATATTCGGGTTATGCCAAATCTGTATAATAAATTAGCAAGCTTTCCATACTGTTCTGTACTTATGAAAAGCTTATAGGGCATTTGAAAGAATTTGGTTGCATAAGTTAGATCTTAGTGCTTTGACAGATGTAATTCTTGAACAGTATTTTCATCCCTCCCCAAACTTATTAGTTCCTTTAGTTTTGTTCTTTCTGTATCAACTTGATTATTTGTAGTCTTGTAGAAAGTCATCCATTTTATGTTATTGTCAGTCATGCTGTCAGGAGAGTTTGGTCCCTATGTTTTTCAGTCTGAAAGGCAACTGCCTCCGGAAGTTGTTGATCACATCAGCCAAAGGAATCCCAAATTGAGTGGTCCCATCTTGCTCAAGGCTTACACTTCTACCTCCCAATTAGGGGCTGCTAGTATACTTCTCCCAGGATACTGCACCACTTTTTCAGGAAGGAGAGTTGCCCGAGGGCCCTGGGGTGGACTGTCTCCTATTTGGCTCTATCTGCACACACCTACCCGACACTTAGGGGAATTTCTCGCATTTGAATGGCAACTTTCCGAGTTTCTGCATCCATGTACTTTTTTCTTTATCCTTGTTTTGCTTTCTTCACTCTAATTTTTTTCTAAGAGTCAGGGAGGAGGGCTTGTTTTTATGCCACCAGTTTCCCTGAAGTGTCAACACACTTTTCATTCTTGGTTTAACTGCTTTTCATCAAGAGCAGTGACGGTACTAGGGGCCCTGGGCTGTATCTATAAATGTAGTTGGTGTCAGGGGAGGAGATTAATCACTCCAGCAAGCATAAACAATCAATCCTGGAAACACAAATATGCTGACATCCCTTTAGCCAAGGCCTGGAGCAGCTTGGCAAAGGATCTACACTTCCTTTTTAATTTGTGAGATAATCACGAAAGTGGAAAATCTGAGAAGTTGTGCTGCAGTTACATTTTCTAATATTCCCTTTTCCCCTCCTACTTCCTGTCAATTAGCTGATTTTCAACTTTCATCATTATTAATAAAAGGAAAGCATATGTATAAATATAAATTTTTCTATCAATTTTTTGTAATCGGTCATGACATACAAAGGACAAAATGTAGATAATGACAACAGCCTATTTTATAGCTGCCGTTTAGAACTGGTACTTATTAGAAAATTATACTAGAGTTAATATATCCACATTTGTGCGCATCTTCACAAAATCCCCAGGTAATAAGAGTCACGAAACCTTGGTTTTCTGACAGGCTCCTCTCCCAGTACTACCCACAATATCTGAAATTCAGAATCGCCATGTCTTACCTTGTGCTAAAACTCTACCACAAAGTTATGCCAATAGAAGTTTAATTAACAGAAAACGACATACGACCAATATAAATAAATGATTCAGGGAAGCTGAAATTCTGCAGGCTGTCTAAATCTCATTCTTTTGGATGTCTTTCTCATTTTTCAGGCTTATGGCACACTTTCTGGCATTGGTAGTGAGCCCTCTGATGAAGAAACGTGGGCTTGTCCATCTTCCTTGTGGTCAGGTGCATTGCCCCAGGGCCTTCCAGGACCACGGCAACCTTACAGATCAAACAGCATCCTCCAGAGTGGGCTTGGGTCTGAATAACTTTGAAAGCTACTGCACACTCTTAGTTTTAATAGGAAGGGGGGCTGTATTTTGCAGAGCCAGATTTTTCTTCTTTATATTTCATCTTCCTTTCTCTGTGCTTTTTTTCTCCATCAAGAAGAGCCACTTGGGGCATGGAAGGCAAAATTTCTACCACTGGACCACCACTGCCCTAGTATTTTATCTTACTAGTCAGTTAAGGGAAACCCTGGTGGTGTAGTGGTTAAGAGCTACAACTGCTAACCAAAAGGCTGGCCGCTCAAATCCACCAGGCGCTCCTTGGAAACCCTATGGGGCAGTTCTACTCTGTCCTATAGAGCCACTCTGAGTCTGAATCGACTCGACGGCAATGAGTATTTTTTTAGTCAGTTAAAAGAAACCACCGGAGTAATCACTTTCAAAGGAGGGGATTAGTTAATACACTTACATATACATACATATGTGTACATATCTACATATCACATCATGTTGTAGAAACATGCTTAATGACATGGAAAATTCCTCATCATATTGTACATGAAATAATCAGATTATAAAATGTATATGCAAATGACTCTTAAATTATTAAAAGATGCTCAACCCCACTCTTAATAAGAGAAATGCAGATTTGAACTCTGATGAGACATCATTTCCCCCATCAGATGGATGAAAATCTAGACGCTTGACAATAAGCCCTGTCGGTGAGGCTGTGGTGAAACAGGCATTGTCACACGTTGCTGGTGGGGACGTAAATTATTACAATCCCAGATGAAGGGCAAATATGAAGATTAAAATGGTGGATATCTTTGACTCAGCAGTTGCACTTTTGGAATTCTCTAGTACAGATACACTTGCACGTGTGAAAAATGAAATACGTAAAGGTTTTTCATGGCAGCATTTTGTAATAACAGAAGATTGGAGACAATCAAAAGTCCACCAATAACGGATTCATTAAATAACTTATTGTGCATTCATAAAAAGGAATACTGAGTGTCTGATAAAATAAAAAAAGCTCTGTATGAACTGATATTGAAAGATCTTTGAGATATTTTGTTCAGTTAAAAAACAGAACAGGGTACAGAACAGTGTGCACACGCTATGTTTTGTGTTACAAAGAGAGAAACAGCCTATACTTGTTCTGATTTGTATGTGTATAAGACAGAAAACAAGAAACAAAGAACATGTTTACCTGGGGATGGAATTCTGGCAGATGCGGGGAAAGGATAAGAAGGAGACTTTCACTATATACTCTTTCTGTTTTTTAATTTATTTAATTTTGTCATTGTCGTTGTTGAGAATATACACAGCAAAAAAAACATGGAATGCATCATGAATTTGCATGTCATCCTTGGCACAGGGGCATGTTAATCTCTGTATCATCCCAATTTTAGTATATGTGCCGCCCAAACCAGCACTATACCCTTTTTTGAACCATATGAATATATTACTTATTTTAAAAAGTAGATAGCATGTTGTATATGTGTGGGTTTGTATGGAGAGAGAAACAGAGAGAGGTTGACAGAATGCACACACACACAAGATTGGAAGGGTATTTATCAAAATGTTAGTTTTTCCTTAAATGAAGGGAATACAGATGATTAAAGAAGTCATGGAAATTTTCATTACTCCATAATATATTCATATTTTTTAATGCAAAATAAAGTGTTTATGACTTTCCAGGAGGATGAACCAAGTTTGTGTGTAGCTCTTCTAGTGCAGAGGTACACGCCTGTGAGCATGGCAGCAAGCGGTGAGGGCCACGGAGACTGTATGGGCCTTGTCCTGTGGTTTAACAACTGCCCCATCCTTCCAGGGGTCCCTGGGTGTGCACACAGTTAATGAGCTAGGCTGCTACATGAAAGGAAACTTTACAAGGTAGTTCTACTCTGTCCTACAGGGTTGTTATGAGTTGGAATCAACTCAAGGGCAAAGGGTATACATGTGGACGTAATCCCATTTGGAAATGAGATTTTCTTTGTTATGCTAATGAGGCAATAGCAGTGTAGGGTGTGTCTTAAACAGACTAGCACTTGTTAGATATGAAAAGAGCAGATTCGGCACAGGGAAGCAAGCACAAAAGGAGAATGTACACGCCAACGTGGAGATCCACAAGGAGTGCTGAGTCTCCCAGAGACGACAGAGAGATAGAGCCTTCCCCTAGAGCCAGTGCCCTGAATTCTAACTTCCAGCCTCCTAAACTGTGAGAAAATAAAATTTTTTCTTTAAAACCATCCACCCGTGGTCTTTCTGTTACAGCAGCATTAAGAAACTAAGACACATACATTCCAGAAAAAGTATGTAAATAATCAGTTATCTGGTATAATCCTAGTTTTCAAGCAAACACTCATGCTACTACCACTGAGCTCAAGAAACATAACAATGCTCCCTCTTCAGAAGTGTCCCCAAGTGTCCCTTCTCCTCAGAATCACCTCCTTCCCCTCCCAGGAGAGATAAGCATGGTCTTCACTTTCATGACGACCGCTTCCTTGCTTGCATTTATAGTTTTACCACCTACTTATGCATGCCAAAATTCTTAATTTCATTTGCCTGTTTTAGAATTCTGTTTTAAGAGCCATCCATATTGTTGCAGAAAGCTACATTTTGTTCATTTCGTTAGCTATAAAGTGTTCCATTACATATGTGTGCCACATTTTATCCATTCTACTAATGATGGATATTTGGAATACATCCAGTTTTGGGCAGTAAGAACAATGCTGATCCAAACATTATGTTAGATGTATTTGGGTGCATATGTGCATAAGTTTTCTAGGGTATTTACCCTTGAGTGAAATTGGTGGATTATGGGACATGCATAGCATCTTCTTTTCAAAAAAAAAAAACCCACTGCCATCAAGTTGATTCCGACTCACAGCAAACCCGTAGGGTTTCCAAGGCTGTAAATCTCCACAGCAGCAGACTGCCACATCTTTCTCCCGTGGAGCAGCTGGTGGTTTCAAACCGCCAACCTTTTGGTTAGCAGTTCATTGCTTTAACCAGTCTGCCACCAGGGCTCTTTTCTAGATGTTGTAAAATTATTTTTCAGTATGGGTGTATTTGTATTTCTTCCAGCAGTCTAAAGTGTTATCATTGTTCCATATCTTCACCAAAAGTTCTAAACAGTTTTGTCAGACTTTTTAATATTTGCCAGTCTGATGGGTGTGTAGTAAATTCTTATATGGTTTTAATGCATTTCACTGGTGATAAATGAAATTGAGTGCCTCCTCGTTTATTTAATGGCCATTTGGACATTCTCTTTTGTGAAGTGCATGTTCAAAACTTCTGCCCATTCTTTTGTTGGATCGCTTGTCTTTAATAGTTCTTAATTTAATCTACATGTTAATAGTCTGAATGAGGAACAATCAGGGTTGGGTATTCACCAGGCAGCCAGAAGGCAAATGCAGCAATCTAAGATTTTTAGCAAATCATTTTTACCTGTCACAAGTTATGCTATAGACAAAGTGGGTCTAAGCACCTGCCCATCACAAACACCAACGGACGCCAGTTGTCTGCCAGCGGAACTGGATTAATTAATGATGCTGACAACAGTAGTTAACATTCTCTAGACCCTTACCATGTGCCCAACACTGGGCTGAGCACTTTACGTGGGTTAGCTTATTTACTTCTCTCATTGCTTCCCTGCGGGATGTACCATCCAGCTTAGAGGCTTAAGTAACTTTTCCAATGTAACTTCCAGTGATGGGGCTGAGGACCAATCTCTCATCTAACTCCAGAGTTCACATACTTATCCTAATTATTACATTGCCTCAAAACCAAGTTTCCTTCTGGTTTCAAATCTGGGCCAATATTGTACTGTGGAAATGGAAATTATTAGTTCTAATAGAAAACCAAACAAACAAACCAAAAAAACCCCAAACACGTTGCCATCAAGTCAATTCCCACTCATAGCGACCCTATAGGACAGAGTAAAACTGCCCCGTAGAGTTTCCAAGGAGCAGCTGGTGGATTTGAACTGCTGACCTTTTGGTTAGCAGCCGAGCTCTTAACCACTGGGCCTGCAGGGCTCCAAATTCTAATAATTAAGTTGTAAGGTTAGAGCTTGTAAAATTTAAATTCCCTAAAAATATATTATAATGCATTATGAAGGATACTGACAAAAGAAAATAGGTTTGAATAAAGCTTTGCTATGTGTTTGACTAAGGAGCCTGGCTGGCACAAGCTGTTTGTAATAGGCTGCAAATCTAAAGGCTGGCGGTTTGGATTTACCCAGCAGCTCCATGGAAGACAGATCTGGCGAACTGCCTCTGCAAAGATTACAGCTAAGAAAACCCTATAGAGCAGTTCTACTCTGTAACATGTGGGATTGCCATGAGTTGGAATAGACTCTATGGCAATGGGTTGGAATGTACTTGACTTAGGTTTTCATTACAGTCAATATGTGAATGGCAAGTATGAAGTCTTTTGACCTACTATGGGATCAATAAAATATTTATCCACCCTGAGTAGATAAAATCAGATGCTTTTTGTAGGACTTTCAATTAACTTTATCTAAAGAGTCTGGTCTTTGTCCCTGGTTCCTGGGAGGTAATCGCTACCAAAAAAAAAAAACAAAAAACAAAAACAAAACCCGAACTCTTTGCCACTGAGTCGATTCCGACTCATAGTAACCATATAGGACAGAGTAGACCTGCCCCATAGGGTTTCCAAGGAACAGCTGGTGGATTCGAACTGCCAACTTTTTGTGCCTGATGGTGTAACCTGAGCTCTTAACCACTGCACCCAGGGCCCCTTGGAATTTTCCCAGTGACTGGAGTCTTTGTTTTTCATGGAGGGGCTTCAGATCACACATGAGGTTATGCTAATAAGGCGGGGGCTGGCCATGCCAGAAAGATCTACCACAAGAGATCACCTCAACCTCTGAGGAGAGTGGATCTGAACAGTGAGTTCAACTGAGTGAACAGTGATTCAATCAATCATGCCTAGGTAGTGAAACCCCAATAAAAACTCTGGACAGTGAAGCTTGGATGAACTTCCTTGTTGATGGTAGACATCGACGCACAAGAGGATACCATATTCTTTGGGACACAAAAGCTTCACAGTGGGGACCCTCTCAGACCTCGCTCTATGAATCTCTTCTTTTATATCCTTTTTGCTGTAATAAAACTGTAATCCTAAGTAGAGAGCTTTCCTGAGTTCTGTGAGTCATTCTAGAAAATTATCAAACCTGAGAGGGTAGTGAGAATCCCCGAATTTGTAGTCAGCAGGTCAGAAGCTTGGGTTTCCTGGATGCCTCTGAACTTGCGGCTGGAGTGTGACGTCTCGGGGAGACATGGCAGTCCGGAGCACAGTGCCCCTTACTGTTTGATATCTGATCTAATTCTGGGTAGGTAGGGTTAGAAGAAAAAGAACTGCGTTTGCAGTTGATGCCAGAAAGGATATTTAGAATTGTTGTCAGGAGACACACAGACACTTTACTCTTAAACAAGGCTCTTTTTTAAGGTTAAAATGATGAAATAATTACTGACGGGAACCCTAACCATGCATCCAGTAGCAGTTATCCTAAATTTTCACAGCAAAGAAAGAAGACCATCCAACATGCTGTGTAGAATCTCAAAGGGACTTTCTAGTCATTAGTAAACATAAAGACAGCAAAATGTTCAAAAGTTCAAAACACTCCTGTTTCTTGGACAAGATCCCAGAGATCCATGGCAAAATAAATTTTCTTTTCCAAGCCAAACTTTGAATTATTTGAAAGATAAAAGAACTATGGGTATATTGAAACAAAAGTTATAGAATGCCGATTGGACTTTGAAAGCATCATGAGAAATAAGACCTGACCTACAGTCCACATAGTCTATGGTGGTTTCTGAAGCAGTTTATATAATGAGCTTTCACTCAGGGGTTTTCTTTCCTTTTTTTTCTTTTGAGGACACCTTCTGACTTGAACATGTTCACGGGTCTTGTATGCCTTGTAAAGCTGTGTTGTTTCTCCCGCTGAGACCCTGCTCAAGCTTGTAGTTTTATTTGAAGAAATAATTTTCAATTTCTACTTCTGAGTTGAGCATTAACCCTCCCCACTGCTTGATTGATTAAACCCTACTGTCTGCATCTGGAAGGCAAAGTCTGAGTTGTAGGTAGGACTTTCCAGCAAGCCACTTTTCCACGCTCCATGGAACAAATGCAACATGATAACTCTGTGTGTCACAAGCTGTGGGGACCTCTGATCTTGGGGGAGGACAGGTATAGCATCTCCTTTTAACATCTAGTAAGTTTAAAAGCCTATAATGATTAGGTAGCATCTGATGAATTTGGTTCGATAACAATATGACCTTTTGTAGGCATTTAATAACTTGTAGTGTGAGAATACATTATCTTTCTTGATCTTCTTGTGTATGGAAAGCAGTGCTTTATTTTCCTACATCTGAACAAGAAGGTAATGGGAGTCTGAGAAGCTGGATACTCGCCCAAGGTCACATAGATAGTAACTGTAATGAAAACCCAGATCTTTTGCTTCTAACACCAGTTGTGTTTTACATTCACATAATAAACCCAAGATTTGGGAATTATAGAGGAATTTCAAAAAGATCCACATTATCAATGTGCTCTGAAACCAGAAAACTGATGGTAATATAAATGCCACATTGCTGCTCACTTGTACAGAACAAAACAAAGAATAAGCTGTTTCGATACTGCCTCTAGAATAAGAAGTCTTGGAGGAAATTGCTGGGATGACTTTGAAAACCCCTACATGTGACCAGCCAAGCCCCTGGAAGAGCAGTAGGGCTACCCTGGAGGGGGCCTGTAACTCATAAGGTCTCAGTGTGTTGGCCTGTGCTCCCATGCATTTCACAGGGGTATGCCTTATTTCTCTAACTGGACAATCCTGGAAGGAAGATGTCTTGGTTTGGTTTCCCCAAAAGGCAGATCCTGAGACAAGCAGTCAAGAGCAAGTCACTTATATGGGAGGAGAAAGAAACACCTGTAGGGAGTAGGGCAGTGGTACAGGGAGGGAAGGAGGCCAAAAAGGATGTGTTGTCAAGCCAGCTTCCACTGGGGTGACTGGAGCTTAATCCCAGGAGGAAACACTGGGAACGATCTAAAACGCACACCTCAGAAACGTCCCACCTGAGAGGTGCAGGAGTTGTGCTGTTTCTACACCAACTCCCATCAGTCATTGTGAGGACTGCTGGGCAGGGAGGGTAGTTTGCCCTCCTTCTGGCATGCTGTGCAAGTGGGCAGAGTGGCATTCTGTGGCTTAGGAAGAGTCCCAGGTAAGGAAATGGAGTCTCTGGCAGGGGAAAGTTAAAAGACTCGAGGCATATGGGGTGGGCACCCAAAGGACCTGCTATAACAGGATCCAGGTCTTGTTTTTTTTTTCTCTTTCAAGGCCCAGAACAGTATTTGGGACATAATAGTCCCCAGATTACTATGAGCATGTCTACTCAATATCAAGGTGGATATGAGAGATGCTTATAGATACAAATTGAATCCTAACTGACAAAGGAGCATGGAAAGAAAGAAGAAACAAGGAAAGATCAGGAAGACACCTCACAGCACAGTGACTTCAGAGCAGGAAGTCGTCACTACTCACACTTTCTCGTAAATCTTGTGGGGGTGCTCGGGCCATTCGATCATGCACACGACTCTGTTGGGCATGGTCTCTGTGGTTGAGTAATAGCCCTGGGGGAAGGCCAGCAGGAGAGCCAGCACCCAGATGACACAGATGACCACCTTGGTGGCCGTGGCCGACAGCCGAGGCTGGAGGGGATGGATGATAGCCATGTACCTGGAGCAGAGAAGAAAGAACAAAGCTTAGATTTGGTCATCAAGTTCTGCATCAGTTAGCACCTGTTTTTCCTGCCAATGAAAGATTCCCAGAAACCCTTTGACTCCTGGTGATTTTTACCACCACTTCCTGATCCCTTTTTATCTCCTATTCTTAATCCTCAACAAAATGGATTGACACAGTGGTTGCAACAAAGGGCTCAAACGTAGCAATGATTGTGAGGATGGCGCACAACTCAGCAGTGTTTCATTCTGTTGTACATAAGGTTGCTGTAAATTGGAGCTAACTCAACAGCACCTAGCAACAGCAACGTTCTTAAACTTTGTAAGACTTACGACATAAGATGTTAAGATTTGTAAGAAAAGTCAACCAGATTTTTGATATTTTAGAACTCATCTAGCAACATTCCAAGAAAGAAAGTTTAATCGTTGGAATGCTCCCTCTAGGGACGTGATCCCTAAGTACAGGTCAGCAGCTTATGGTGAAATTAGAAAAATAAGGGCAACTTTTTAAGTTTATTCAATATAAAGACTGTCTTTTATGCTTTTTTTTTTGTGTGTTAAGGAATAATGTTGATGGAAAGAGGAGATTCTAAAGTCCTCATATGATAATCTAAAAGGCTAGCAATCCTACATGAGTCCATGCAATCTGAGGGGAAGTGAATGTGCATGTGAGAAAGCAGGGACTTAAAAACAGCAAAAACAGCGGCTTCTGGAGAAATCTTCATTGATTCTTTGAACATCTAGAAGTCAGTGTATGACTCAGCACACATGTTTGTGAGGAAACGGCTGGTCCTCTCCTGCCGAGGCAGACGGGCTAGTGCCAATAAAAGGCCAGGGTGGGTGGAACCCCCTTGCAGGAATGGGGAAGCAGAGTAAAGGAGGACTTCCTGCCGGGAGCCATGGCTCCGTTCCCTTCTTCCTGGGACAGGCATCGAATGGTGTCATCTGAATGAGTGTGTCCCTATCTTGGGATTTGTGTACAACTTCTGAGATGCAGCAGAAATTTCAGGAATAATAAATATTCTGATCAGCACTTCCTATCAGTTATAATCACATCACCTCCGCCTCCTTCATTTTAAAGGCATAGCCCGATGTGACTTTTTCTTGCAAAATTTTGGACCCACCCCTTAAAATATACATTTTTTTTTTTCCAGAGTAGGAATTATGTCTTATACAACCTTCGGGGTCTGAATATTATCTGACAAAACCTCAGATAACACCTTTGACTCTCTGACATGCAGGTGTTTCTGGCTTCCATGGGGTAGAATAGTCAATGGAGACTGGGGAGGTGAGCAGACAAACAGTAGCACAGATGTCAGCTGGCTCCACATGATCCCACATCATTCCTTTTCTGCCTTCTTTGAACCCCTAGGAGCTCTGGGCCAGAACTGGGGCCAGGTCTACAAGAAAAGAAATTTCATTCAGTATTCACTCAACGAAGTCACCCTGGGCACCTGTCACAGAGCGCAGTGGTTCCTTCTGAGCTAGAAATTTTGACTTTCTCCAGGGAGGAAAGGCACATAAGTAAGCAGCCATAAAATGTGACAGCGGGATGAGTGACCTCAAGTGGTAATTAAGTAAATACCTTGGAGCCATGGGGACACTGCAGTGGATCAAAATGGCAGTGACTATTGGAGGGGCTTAAAGAAGTGTTCTCAGTGGATTTGGGGTGAGTCTGCCGAGTACTAAACTCTACTGGAAAGGCAGGAGGCACTCAGAGCCTTCCTCCTCCTCCTCGGGGTTATGACTAGATCCGACTTCCTGTCCGGAAACTTCAGTGGCTCTGTTTTCATGGTGGCTTCCCTGAGAGTTCTTTTATCGTTCTAAACTTTAGACTATCTTTTTCTGCATTTGCATCATGCTTGCTTGCTAGTCATTGTTAGCTGCCATCAAGTGGCCCCCTGCTCTTGGTGACTCCATGAACAACAGAACAAAAGGCTGCCTGGTCCAGCCCCATACTCATGATTGGTTGCAGACTGGACCATTGTGATCCGCAGGGTTTTCACTGGCTGATTTCGGAAGTAAGTTGCCGGGTCTTTTTTCCTAGTCTGTTTTATTTGGAAAGCTCCACTGAAACCTGTTCAGCTTTATAGCAACATGCAAGCTTCCACTAAAGGTGGGTGGTGACTGCTCATGAGGTATATTGGCTAGGAATTGAACCTTGGTCTCTGGCATGGAAGGCAAGAATTCTACCACTGAACCACCGCTAGGACTTAGGGCCTAGGTTTTCCTTCTCTGGTCTATAAGAGCAATGTCACTGAATATGTTCAATGTATGGGGGCTGGATATTAGGAGGACATCTCAGTTTTACCCTTATATATTACCTCTATATACGGTTGTTGTAAGGTGCAGTTGAATTGGTTCTGAATCATAGAGACCTCACGTACAGCAGAATGAAATATTGCCCTGTCCTGCACCATCCTCATAATCGTTGCTGTGTTTGAGCTCATTGTTGCAGCCAGTGTTTCAATCCATTTCGTTGAGGGTCTTCTCTTTTTTGCTGACCCTCTACTAAGCATAATGTCCTTCTCCAGGGACTAGAACCTCCTGATAACATATCCAAAGTATATGAGTTGAAGTCTCGCCATCCTCGCTTCTAAGGAGCATTCTGGCTGTACTTCTTCTGGCAGACCATGGTATGTTCAATATTCTCTACCAGTACCATAATTCAAAAGCATCAATTCTTCTTCCATCTTCCTTATTCATTGTCCAGCTTTTGCACGCATATGAGGCAATTGAAAACACCATGGCTTGGGTCAGATGCATCTTTGTCCTAAAGGTGATATCTTTGTTTTTTTTTTTAACACTTTAAAAGATGTCTTTTGCAGCAGATTTGCCCAAGGCAATATGTCCTTTGATTTCTTGACTGCTGCTTCCATGGGTGTTGATTGTGAATCCAAGTAAAAGGAAATCCTTGACAACTTCAATCTTTTCTTTCTTTATCATGATGTTGCTTATTAGTCCAGTTGGTGAGGATTTTTATTTTCTTTATGTTGAGATGTAGTCCATACTGAAGGCTTTAGTCTTTGATCTTCGTCAGTAAGTGCTTCAAGTCCTCTTCATGTTCAGCAAGCAAGGTTGTCATTTGCATAGTGCAGCTTGTTAAAGAGACTTCCTCCAATCTTGATGCTTTGTTCTTCTTCATACAGCCCAGCTTCTCTGATTATTCTCTGAATAAATGTGGTGAAAGGATACTACCCTGATGCACACTTGTCCTGATTTTAAACCACACAGTATCCCCTTAATCTGTTGGAACAATGCCTATGGCTTATGTATAGGTTCTGCATGAGCACAATTAAGTGTTCTGGAATTCTCATTCTTTATAATGTCATCCATAATTTGTTATGATCCACACAGTCGAATGTCTTTGCATGGTGTGATGGTTAAGATTGTATGTCAACTTGGCTAGACCATTATTCTTGGTGTTTTAGTAGTTGTCTAATGTTGTGATCACCCCCATGACGGAAACTGCTGAGTGGTACTGGTGGAGGCGGGGCCTGTGGCAGCTCACTGCCCTTTCAGTTTCATCTCTCTGACTTCCACCGGTTACCTTCTGCCTGCTCGCCTTGCCAAGGTTTTTGGCTTGTTCCAGACTCAGCAGCTGCCTCTTGTTGTCTCACCTCTGGTTCGTAGGACTTGAGCTAGCAGCTTACCTGTTGATCTCGGAATTCATCGAACTTCTCAGCCTGCAAGCAAGAGTCTGGTTCCCCGACCTGCCGACCTTGGGTTCACCAGCTTCTGCGGCTGTGTGAACTGGGACAGGCCTCTACCCTGATCTGTGGACTTGGGACGTTTTAGCCTCTACAATTGTGTGAGCTATTTCCTTGATATAAATCTCTCTCTGTGTATATTTATATGCTTTACTGGTTTTGCTTCTCTAGAGAACCCAGGCTAAGGCATTTGGTACCGAGAGTGGGGTGGTTCTAGAAAAACAAAATCATAAGGATGAGTTTTCTAAATTGGTTCTCAAGTCTGGGTAGTCTTAAAGATGTTGATGACTCTGCTTCCAGCAGTAAAGAGGGCACTGCTAGCCCATGGAGTGAGGTGGCGATACAAATATGCAAAATATCACCACCAGTAGATCAGGTATTGGTGAAAGGCGAGCCTCTGAGTGAACACATGTGTGATATATTTCTACAGCTTTGTCAGAATGAGAAGTATAGGGAGGCTTGTTGGTTGGTCCTACTTTCGCTAGACAAACTGGTGAAAGAAAGAGATGTGCTCAGGGCTTCAGAGTCAAAGCTCAAGTGCCAAATAATGACCTTAAGGCTTCCACTTGTGCTTTGAAGGAAAACCTTATTTCTTGTAGTAACAGAGCTGAAATTGCTGAAAGCCAAAGCCAGGCTCTTATTGTAAGAGTGGCTGAATTACACTGCCAGCTCAACTGCTAGCCTCGAGAGGTGTCTGAAATTAAAGTAAGAGCATTGACTGGGTAGAAATGGGATCCTGAAACTTGGGATGGGGACATATGGGCAGATAATCAGGCAGCTGGAGACACTGAACCCCGAAATTCTGTTGAATCACTCCTGCCAACAGAACCACTCCCACCTGAAGAGCTTACATTATGTTTGTCTGTTACACCACCCCACCCAGGAAAACCATTAACCCCTCCACTCCCATCTAATGAGATTAGCCCTAGCCCAGCTGCTTCTAAAGAGCCCTTGCTTGAGTCATTGCCTGGGGCATTGCCTGAGGCTGACGCTTTACAAGACAATGCTGAATATTCTCAAAACAATTCCACACTACCGATTCTAGCTTCTAGACCTATAACTAGACTTAAGTCCCAGTGAGCCCCAAAAGGTGAAGTACAGAGTGTGACCCAGGAGGAGGTACGCTACACTCCAAAAGAACTACTTGAGTTTTCTAATATGTACAAACAGAAACCTGGGGAATGTGTGCGGGAATGGCTATTAAGGGTGTGGGA